CCCCCCAAGAAAAAGGAACCAGAACAGACCTCCCCCCATTCCCAACGGGAGTTTGTTCTCATAGTATAGCTTTTGAATTCCCTCTTGTGCTAATGTTCTAGTTTCTTTATTTTAAAATAAATATACCAGTTTTAGCCAGTGTGATCAGGGACAAGTGAATTTAATTTCAAACTCTGAAATGGTGATTAAAAAAAAAGATATTTATATAATTTTAACTTGTTGTCTCCCTTTAATTCAGCCCTGGTACATAATAGGTGTCCTGATTGTATAATTTTATGAAACTCAATGTAACCAGATTTGATGTATGGAACTCTGTTTCCATCATGTCCTACAATGAAGAAGTAAATGTAACACCATTTTTGAAATATTCTTGTCAGGATAGTGACCACTGTTCTTCAAATTCACACCTTCAATAAAATCGATGGTTAATAGCTTGCATGGTTTTAAAACTTAAGTAAACAGTAATAACCTCCAACCAGATGGTTGGGGTCTTCATTGAAGGATAAAATTAGAATGTAAAAACATTGGGAGTAAAATGTTTTACCTGCCAGAACATGTCATTTTATAGTCAATATGTATGTGATATGATATCAAAATAAGATAGATAATATCTTAAATCTTATTAGCCATGGCATAGCAGCTCATAGAATGGCTCAGAGTGTTTTTTCAAGTACAAACTTTTAACTCATAGCTCCATATCTTGACGGATTTGAGATCTATTTACAGCCGCGTCTATTGAGGGTCCCCCCCTTTTTTTTATTGGCACTGTACGTGTTTTTGGTATTGACTGTAAAAATGTTTTCAACTATACCATTATTGTTGTGTTCTGTAAGAAACATGATGAGGTTTGAGATATCAGTATTATTGAGATATTACATCATATTTGTAAAAATGTTTTCAACTTTCTTTTTCAGTGTTTTTATTTGGATGAGTTTTAGAATTTGAGAGTTAAATCAATTAGATTCTGTTTTAAAATATATTGGTTTTGAAATGTGCAGAATTGGCTGTGGACTTGTATAAATTATTAGTTTTTATATACTGTTTTATTGCAGGTTTAGTATGTTTTATGTTCTGTAATGTTTGAAACTGCTAAGTCCAACCATTACAGTCAGTAATCTTCAATGCTATTGGTGAGAAACTAACCATATCCAAAAATATTGTACTTGCTAAATGCAAGGTTAATATTCAAGTCAGTATGTAGTTTTCCAATGTAAGTTAATTTTCACAAATTGTTAAATTCACAATGAGCTATTATTTGTGTTTCTATCTGTTTTTGAAGTGTTTAAGTTCAGTTTAACAACACAATATTTTGAAATTTAAAGCTGGATCTCAAAATATCCCCTTTTTTTTGTGTAAAGAAACTATTCTTCTGTCTTGACATATTTCTGTAATTTTTATGTGTGCGTGTTAAGTGTAAAGGAACTGAAAAATTTATCAAAAAATATTTATTTTATTTTTCTAAGTGTTTATTTTCTTATCTAACAGACTTTTCAAAAACACAAACTGGCCATCATGTTGAGCAAGTCCATAATATCTTCAAGGTTTTCCCACATACCATGTGGAACTGTGGGAATGATTTCACCACAGGCTTTTTCTACCACAGCTTCTCGAGAGGAAAAAAAAAGTTACAAGTTAGTTGTGGTTGGAGGAGGATCAGGGGGGATTACAATGTCTGCAAAGTTTGGCTCCAAACTGGGCAAAGGAAATACAGCTATCATAGAACCTATGGAGGTACATAAAGTATAAAGATGATAATAGTTAACAAAAGTTGAAGGAATACCACCTTACAGTGTTAGAAATATAAAGTGTTTGAGTTCTGAGATGAAGAAAAATTTTTTATTTCTCTGTTAATCTATAAATACTAGACGATTCCCTCGTTTTATGTGGTACTTTTTGCTAGAAATACCAGAAAAAAATAATTTAAGTTGCTGATCATATTAAAAATGTAAATTTGAACTATATGATAATAATGACTTAAAACAGGCTAAAAGTGAGGTATATGTGTTTAAATTTTTTTTTTACCTTTGTAAATTTAATTTAAAAAAGTATAAAAAACATATTTTACTCCATGTGAAGCTATGTTAGTAGCCAAACATGATGGAAGGTAAAACAAACATGCATAAGAATAGAAAAGCTTACAATATGAAATGGTTTGATATTAATTATATGTAGTATAATTTAGTATGGATTTACTCCAAATGTGTGTGAATCTGGGGGGGGGGGTGAGAAAATAATTCTTTCTTTATTCATTCAGCATTTTTATATGAATTTTTTTTTCAACTCACAATTTCACACTACTATGCTCCCCTCCCCTTTTCAAGAAAAATTTCTGTAGATGCCCATGTCCAAATGTTACTATTTTACTCTGTTATAGCTTCTGTCTTTTACATTATTGAGATATGCTCAATAGTTTCTAAATCCAGAATGAATGTTTTTATCACAAAATGATTTAGACCAATTAAAAATGTGCTTGGAATACTTACTCTTCTGTATACTCTTGCACAGGGTTTGCTGTTGCAATCAGTATCTTTTTTTTTAAGAATACTGTTTCTGAGACATCTTTTTTATTTTTTTCAGCTACATTAGAACCTGTAATAAAATTAATCTTCCAGTGCGGATAAGTTTCTTCTTTTCACAGAAATATTTACTGAGGAGGATATTGTTTTGGAAAAAGGTTATATTTTTTAAATTGTTTTTCTGTTTATTAAGAAAAATTGGATACCTTATTTTCACAAGTAAATATTTATGAACTTAGAGTTTCCTAAATAATTGATCATTCTAGAATTCAAAGAAAAAAAATATATATTAGAGGACTACATATTACTTCACTTCTTACTTACATATGTCCTCTGGTGGGTCAAGGGTAAGTTAACTGACTTAACATTGCTACAATCTGGGGTTCGATTCCTTGCCACAGACAGATGCAAGTAGACCATTGTGTAGCTTTGAACTGAGACAACAGCAACATCATTAGCATATAATACATTAACATGCAAAACAGTCTACTAGGACTAGGAGAAAATATTCTTGAATATTTATTTATTTATTTTAATTAACATATTGTAAGTTCTTTTAGTGATTTTTTAAAAATGTCATTCTTCATAAGTCAGCTCTAAAACTCGTATATACAAATTATGAATAGTTTGTTGAAAGGAAAATTTATTTTGTATACAGTAGAATGTAAAGGTAATAATTATCAGTTCTTGTGTAGAAATGAATATCCAGTTGTCAACTTAAATAATGTTTAATTTCCACACAGACTCACTATTATCAACCCTACTGGACACTAGTAGGAGGAGGGCTGAAGAATGTCGAAAACAGTGGTCGTCCAATGAAAAGTGTCATCCCCAAAACAGTAGATTGGATCAAAGACAGAGTTGTGTCTTTCGAACCTGATAAAAATGTGGTTCATACTCAGAACGGGCATGAGGTAAGGGGAAACTAGACAGTTTGCTTGTAGAATATAACAGTGTAATATAGTCCACTAATGAGACAGCAGTAAATTTATGAACTTACAATTCTAAAATCCAGGGTTTGATCCCTGTGCAGTGGTCACAATATATAGCTGAATGTGGCTTTGTTCTAAAGCAAACAAAGAAGCAGTGTAATAGTTTTAAGGCTTACTGGTAAAAAAAATGTGTAAGTATAGAGATGATTCAGTTTCATCTGGATGATATTTGTTATAATGATATTTAGCTTTAATGAATTACATTAGAGATAAGTGTTCCTACCTTGACATAACAAATCAGAAAGGAGTAAAAACTTAAAATCATAAAATTTAGGATACTTGTATAAAGTTTTTAATTTTCAAGCTCTTACTTTCCTTGTAAAATATTTGTTTCTATAATGAAGTTATAGAAATATATGTTTGCATGCAAGTTAATTTTGAATTTTGTGTTTTCAGGTATCGTATGAATATATGATAGTGTCAATGGGAATAAAGCTAGATTTTCAAAAGGTAAACTCAGACATGTGACTTGTTTAACTTTCAGTTTATTAACTATTCACTACAACTATTGGTTGTATCTGTATAATGCATTATGTTGAAAAAGCTTATAATATTGCCTATTAAAAACTCACTATAAAGAAATAATAATGTCATTCATTTTATGTGTATGATACTTTTGGAAACCCCAGCTACAATTAGCAGGATTAGTTGCCATATCAATGATATATTTTTGTTTAAGTTTTTTGTGATTCATATGTTATGAAAAATATGTTTAAAAAAAAGCTAATTTTGTGGGGTGGGAGTAATTCTAAGGCAAAAAGTATTTATGTTGTTATAAAATTGTATAACAAAATAATTTCAATACTTTACTAGATAATGGTTGTAATAATTCTCAGTATAAAAAATAATTATACATTTTTACTAGAGTTATCATGTGATTCAAGACTTGAAACTGGTTTTGTCAGTAAGAGTTATTTACATATATTGGTAGGTTGTTTATTTTCTCTGACAAAGTAAAACATTGTATTCAACTAAAACAATTATCATCAAAAATTGAGATCGGAAACAGAGATTTTGCTTATGATATCAAATTAGTAAGGAACTTATTATTAATATAGTATTTAGAAATATATGAAACATTATTAATTATTATTATGGATACTATGAATGTTTCAAATTTTACATTGGAAAGAATAGTAGTTTAAATCAGTTTTTAGTTTAAAGATTCATGGATCTGAATTATTAAAATATCGATTCATACTTTTTGTTAGTCAAGTAAATCCTTTTATTACATTGCTTGAAAAATCAAGAACAAATCCCATTTGATTTTTGGAATATGTATGTTGTGTTTTATATAATTTCAAATTCAGTTCTAATCAAGCTTTACACTTTCAATCAACATTCCACAACAACCTGATGTGATCTTGGCTTTTCTGGAATCCTACTCTTACTGTAATCAGATGTCAAAATCACCTAATTTATTACATACAGAATTTTTTTACTTATCAGTTATGTTGAAATTCAACAGATCAAAGGCTTACCGGAAGCTTTTCAAACCCCTGGAGTTTGTTCCAACTATTCACTGCATACGGTTACCAAAACACCTCAAGCAATGAAGGACTTTAAAGAAGGCAATGCAGTTTTCACGTTACCCAACACACCCATCAAGTGTGCCGGAGCACCTCAGAAAGTTATGTACCTTACTGATGCTTATATGAGAAAAGTAAGTTGTTTTAATGGACTTTGTTTGTTATTCCCCCTCCCCTCATTACTCCAACAAATAAAAGTTATAAAAGTAAAAAAACTTCACCATTATGTGATAAAACACTTCAGGAACTGAAAAACAAGAGAAAGTGTTTTGTCTTTACTTTGTGTTATGTTTTCTGTAATATTTATTTGATTTATCTATTTTCTGTTTGTCTGTTTATGCTTCATTCACAAGCTTATTTAGGGCCAAATACAGGGTGTCCCAAGAGTCACAGTCTGTTTTATTTAAGTACTCTTTTTATATTAATGTTTATTGCTTCATAACATTACTACAGATGCCTGTCAGGTTTAACAACTAAATAACTGATTCTCAGACAAAGATGTACATTTTTTTATGTTCTCTGACTACCATCAATTCAAAGTCACGTGCATGAGGTCACCAGTTCAGTTCAACATTTGTATTAGTTAGAGCCTGACACCGTTCCCACCTGTCCACTGTCACCTGGATTATACTATGTAATATCTCCTGTGTGTTGTACTCAACATCTTCACAGATGTTATTGTGTAAATCTGCCATATCAGATACACCTTCGATTTCATGAATCTGTTCATGAAAAATTCAGGTGGTGTGAGTTCTCATGATCTTGCTGGTCGAGGCCTGTTTCCTTCTTGCTTTATTTAGTGACAGGAGAAGTTTATTGAGATAATCACGTACAATGATCGTGTAATTTGGCAGTGATCCATCTCTTCAAGACTGTTAAGGATGCCACCAGACAAAAGTTGTGGCTTCAGAAACTGCTGAAGCATAACCAAGTAACTGTGCCACAGACAAGGGGTTCCATAAAAAAGAGTCCACAGATCTTCACCGTAGTTATTCCCAGCCAATCATTCGTCTTTAGTGCATCATGTTCCCATTTAATGAATTGTGATGGTTGCTCATCACCCTAAGTGCCATTAAGTCTATTGAATTTTCCACAAGTGCTGAAAGTTAACTCATCAGTGAATGAAATATGGTCCATAAGATTATCGTCCTTTATAGTCTCCAGCCTCCAGTGGGTTATGGCATGCTGCAGTACCTGCTGTAGATACATCGGACATCTTGTGTGTGACCTGGATTTGGTACGCTAAATTCTTTGAAGTTAACTTCAACGTTCTTTGCAGTACCTATTGATCAAGGAATATCCATCTCCACAGATCCATGACGTACAAACTTTCTGGAGCTGTGATTGAATGTACGTCTTACCCTCGCCACACATTGTTTTGAGCTGGATGGATGTTTGCTGCATTTCTTATCAATACAGATCAGAGCAAGTGTGCCTAAACTTGAGCTTGCAGATATTTCTATGTGTTGGGCCGGCTTTATGGAATTATCTCGCTCAGGCAGATCGTACTTCATCATAGTTTAATAGTGGAGCAACACAATTTCCATCTATTTGGAAATTGTAAACATTTCTTACTCTAGTGCACAGCTATAATCTTGGAAGAGAATGGACTGTATTAGAGGTCTATTTCAAGAAAGTAGTAAGGGAATTTTGAGAATCCCTGGATTATACCTCTACATGTAAAAATGGAACTGAAAGTTTAAGTTTCTTCATTGTTTTACAAAAGTATAACTTATATGTATGTTTTACAAACACATATTGACTTCTTCTGAATTTTCAAATTCCTGTTTTTTAATTTTATTAATTCTTAATAATTTTAGGTATAATAATTTTACTTTGGAAGATGTAAATAAATCTTTGAAACCTTTTGGTGATATTATTTTTATTTTTTGATATTTAGGTTGGCAAGAGAGACAAAGCCAATTTTATCTATAACACAGCTTTAGGGGTTATGTTCAGTGCTCCAAAATATGCTGCTGAACTGTTGGAAGTGGCTAAAGACAAAGGAATTGCTGTAAACTTTCAACACAACCTTATTGAAGTTAATTCTGTCAAGAAAGAAGCAACATTTGAAAAGTTATCAAGTGATAAAGAACCTAAAGAAACTGTGACATATCCAGTAAATTTCTTTTCATTGGTTTATATGTTTTTGGTTTTAATTTATTATTAGATAATTTATTTAATAACCGTAATTGGTTTGCTTTTGTAATGAATGTATTAACTTTTCTATTATTTTCAATTAGGTTTGTTATCACATTCAATAATTCCCAAAAGTGTGTTTAAAAATTTTACAAAATTCTATAGTTTCAGTGAGTAGCATAAATATAAACAGTTGTTAATGAAAAATTTAATTAAATGAACTTTGATAAGCATTTTGAAATGGAAGATTTATGTTTAATTAATTGTTAACCATTCATTATAAATTATAAAACCTTGATTACAAATACAAAATAACTGACTTACACTTCTTAAACCTATGGTTTTGTGGCTGTAAGGTTAATTTTTCTTTAAAATGACAACAAGATCTATATAGATATTTGTTTCAAAAACTTATTAATTCACAGAAAGAAAATAATAAGCCTCCCCCTAAAATAAAATAAAACTACTAAAAGAATATCAAATAATGAATTTACTTTGAGCAAAAATCATCTTTTCTGTTGTAAGAATCATTAGGTGACACAAAGAATAGAGATAATATTAAACAAGAATTTAATTATGACTGTAAGCACATACTCAACAACAACAAAAAAAGTAAGTCAATTTTTATGAATGCAAATTTCTTAGAAAACAAAAACAAGGTATTTTTTACCACAGAATTTGTCAGTGACTTATTGACTAGGTTCTGTAAAGGAAGTGATTAAAGAAACATTGCAGTGGATATATATACAGCATGCAAATTCTGTTTCAGATTGGGATCTCGTAGTTCCAACACAGTTGATGTGTTCTGATGCTGAACAAAAAGTTGTATCTGATTTAAGACCCATAATGGGCTAATTAAGAAAAATGTGAGAAACATTTTCAGTGTGATTCTTGTCATTTCTGTTAATCTACAAAGTACTGTTAGAAAACCTTGTAGTTCTGTGAATGTATAATATTTTTAAATTTTGATTTCAGCACTCTTAACATTTTAAGAATTACTAAAAACTCAAAGTTTAATAGCTACATGATCACTACATTATTACTTTACAGTGGAAAGTTTGATTTGGAAGATATAATTATACTGACATTTGCATTAAGTTATATCTGCCTGTAACACATGAAATACATGATTTGATAGAAAATACTATATTTCAGTATGAAATGCTTCATGTCACACCACCAATGAGCACTCCAGAGCAACTCCAGAAGAGCCCCCTAGTGGATGCTTCAGGTTATCTTACTGTTAACAAACATACTTTACAACATGTTAAATATCCCAATATATTTGGAATTGGTGACTGTACTAATGTTCCAACTTCAAAAACAGCTGCAGCCATTGGTAAGTTAGCTAAGGAAGCAACATATTTCCCATTAAGTTGTACTTGATAAAATAAATTTATTTTATTTGATATTTTACTTAAATCATTCGAAATATAAGCATGAGATGTAGAAGAAAAATAAAGAACATTTTTTTTATTTTATGGATCTTTCAGCTTTCATTGATTTGTCCAGTAGTCTTCGTCTACATAAATCTATCAAAGTAAACATTGAAGTAATATATCTTTAAGTAATTACGTTAATGGTATTTCACCAATATATTCCGTAGTAAAGGTTATTTTAAAGTTTTGAATATGAAAATTATGAATTGCAATTTGCAGTGACTAATGTTATGAGTTAATTTTTGTAATAAATTTTTACTTTTTATATTTTAAATCTGAGTTTTATATTTACCTAACCCATGGCAACTCATCCAAAGGCTTGTTAGTATAATATTAAAAAAAAATCATGAGAGCTGGCAGTGTAATGTTATTAATACAATACCTAATGTTTTTTAAATGACCCAAAATAAGATTCACAGGCCTGGCATGGCCAGGTGGTTACGGCACTCGACTCGCAATCTGAGGGTCGCGGGTTTCAATCCCCGTCACACCAAACATTCTCACCCTTTCAACCGTGGGGGCGTAATAATGTGATGGTCAATCCCACTATTCGTTGGTAAAAGAGTAGCCCAAGAGTTGGCGGTGGGTGGTGATGACTAGCTGCCTTCCCTCTAGTCTTACACTGTTAAATTAGGGACGGCTAGCGCAGATAGCCCTCGTGTAGCTTTGCGCGAAATTCAAAACAAACTAATAAGATTCACTTAGGATATATTGAAATAAATATACATGCTATTTCTCCTTTTAGCTAGTCAGAGTGGAGTTCTGAGAAAGAATCTGAAGGCTGTAATGGCAGGACAACCACTACCAGGCCAGGTAGAAATCTTTACAGTAATAACTTAGTTAATGTGAAGAGTGCTAGAGTTAGACTTTCTTTTGTTTTGACAGTTTTTATATTTCTGATTTTACGTTGAACATATATGCGTTACATAGGTGTGCTTATTTGATGATACATTAGTTTATTATATGCTTATTTTTAGTACAATGGATACACATCCTGTCCGTTAATCACTGGATACAACAAGTGTATCCTGGCAGAATTCGACTTTGACTTGAAACCATTGGAGACGTTTCCTTTCGATCAGGGGAAGGAAAGTCGGCTCATGTGGCACGTTAAAAAGGACTTCATGTCTCCACTCTACTGGCATCTTTTGCTTAAGTAGGTTTTTTCTTAGTAAACGTCACATTATGAGAAATGTTTTGATTTTTGATACGCACATAAAAGGTACTAATTAAAAATTGTAAGATAAATTTAAGTTAATTTATAAAACTGTAAGAATAGCCTTACCTTACTTGTCTGAAGAAACTTTGAGTTCTGATAAAAAGAATATTGTAGAATATCTAATACTCCATTTTGTTCAGTGGGCTAAAGACAACACGCTAAACTTTAGTATTTACTTCTTCCTTTCAGAAATGTTGAAAGACACATTTCAAACCCACTTTCTTGAGGCTTATCTACAAACAGAGGTTTGATTTATGTAAAATTAGTGACATGTTAGAAGAAAAAAAATTGTCATGGAATATTAGTCTTAGGAAGATCTAGTATAATTTTTTATATTTCTGTAATTCAGTTGGCCGGGTGGTTAGGGTGCTTGACTTATAACATGAGGGTCGTGTGTTTGAATCTCTGTCCCACCAATCATGCACACCCTTTCAGGGGCATTATTTTGGTTGGTAAAACAGTAGCCCAAGAGTTGACACTGGGTGGTGATGACTAACTGCTTTTCATCTAGTCTTTCACTGTTAAGTTAGGGATGGCTAGTGCAGATAGCCCTCGTGTAGCTTTGCGTGAAATTCAAAACAAAACAGACCTAATTGACTTAAATTTGTCTAAAGCTATTGGTTGAATTTTAAAATAATTTTTGCTAGTTGGACTTGTAAATGTTTTTGTATATATTTTTTCATATTTTTACTTCAAATCTAAATAATTGATTCATTTAGTTTTCTTACATTTACAGATAGAGACTTTTCTTTCAGTACAGTGTATTCAAAGTTCACCAATTAATATTAATTAATTAAAAAAACAGTACTGTGAACTATATTTATGAAAGTAGTAAATTTTATCACAACCTGTTATATTAGAAGTTACTTTCCAAAGAAACTCTGCACTGTTGTATTTATTTTTATTTTTGCAAGCTTATTGTAAAAGGTTTTAATAGTGTTGCTCTTGCCTCTTGCAAATCAAATTGATATATAACACTATGTCATCTTTGTAAGTTTAATAAAATCCATTCAATGGTTTTAATACCTCTAAGAGGAGATGTTTTGATAAATGAAGAATTACTTTTATTTTGGCTAAGAACTATAAGAAAAGTATACAAAAATGTTAATACCCTTGTTTTTGAATTAGTTTTCAAGTTTATATTTTTCTTTACAAAATGGTTTCACTAGAATAAATGTAGGTTTGAGTAAACTGTAGGTTCAGTTATAAAGCTTGAAGTAGATATCTCACATACATTTGAGTATTATAGGTTCAAGTCACAGAAGGTAGCAGGTTTATAAACTTATGGTGAGTACAGTGTAGGTTCAGATTGTATACTGAAGTAGGTTGTGGACACTTTCAATAAATACACCACAGGTTCAGGTTGAAGACACACTCAATAAGTACACTGTTTCTTCATGTTATAGATGTGTGATGAGTACATTGTAGGTTCAGGTTGCAGACATTCTTGATGAGTACAATGTAGGTTCAGGTTGCAGACATTCTTGACGAGTACACTATAGGTTCAGGTTGCAGACTAAATTATGTTGTATACATTTTTACAAATATATCAGGTTGAAGACTGAAGTAGCTTGTAGACATTTGGGATGAGTACAGTAAGCTAACAGGTTCATAAGTTCTCAAAGTACATTAGGTTCAGATTTAATATTTTTTATGGCAGCAGAGTTAAGGTTCAGGCACATAGTAAAGCTTGTAGGAACATGCTAGATATTTTGTTTTCTAATAATTGTTATTATTTCTTTGTTTAGTGGCTGGTGGGAAGGACCTTGGCTTTTCAGGAAGCTCTTCCATTTAGGAATGTCTCGATGAAAGTGTATTAACTTACACATTTGTATTAATGTGTGCTTCTGTTAGAGCCACAATGTGAATGATTGTTTGTTTTTTAATTAATCTTATGAGGTGGCTGAATTTTGTAGCCTTACATAAAAAATATTTTCTTCTAAGACGTTTTTTTTAATGGTTACACAAGATACAACAGTAAAATGTGATAGGTAACTTATATGTATAATTGGATTTAAAAGTCCTCATGTAGTTTTGTGTTCAACAAGGAACAAACGATAAGTGACGTTTATTGTTTATATTGTAATTGTGATAAAACAATGTGTTTTACGTATTACTAAAATGAAAAAAGAATCACTAATGTGTGTGTGTGTGTGTTATTTTTTTTATTTCCGAATCTAAGGTTTGAGTACATTCAGAGAATGACCTTTAGAAATATAAATTACGGCTGTTATCCATATTTCAGTGTTTTTATCTGAGTTTTTCTTTTGTCTGTAACACACTGCCTTTGTCAATAAACTTGGGATGATCCAGTTTTTATGCCAAGGTTTGTAAAAAATAACAAATTTAATAGCTTTGTACTATAACATACTTATTAAGTTTTTAAAATACCTTGTTGGGAAAGAAAAGATCAAAGAAATCAAACTATATGTGAAATGTAAAATGTTTAATACTAAGCAAATAAAGTATTATTTATAGGAAATTAAAAAGTGTCCAAATTAGATGTAACTTAATTTATTTATAGATACAAAAGAGCAGGGGTTAAGTTGGGATTTTGAAAGAGGTGGAACTCCCTTTTATGATCCCCTTTGATATTTTAATCAGAGGACCAGGAACGCTAATGGCTTGAATGTTGAAGAAATGGTCCCATTTTAATCCCTGCAAATGAGCAAATCTTGACAGCTATTTAAATCATTACCTGAAGTTCTGAACGAATTTACTGCTCGTATTGATGTGAATTATAATTAGCAATAATGGTAACGTTTTTTTAATTGTGTCTGTTATACAAATGTAAGCTAACACAAGATCATTTTTGAACATCAAGGTTTACTATTTAAAAGCTTTTTTCTTCAGTTTAGGAAATATCAGAATGTCTCCTGCTGGGACAGCAGTAAATTTACGGACTTACAACGCTAAAATCAGGGGTTTGATTCCCTTTGGTGGACACAGCAGATAGCCCAATGTGGCTTTGCTCTCAAGCAAACAGACAGACATTGATAATTTGGCTACAATACAAGCCAAAAATATTATAGTGTAAAATAAGAAAAGAATCCAAAACCATAGCTGTGGTAATTTTATATTTGTACTATTTGTCAAATTATAGACATGGTCACATTTTATATCGCTATTTGTCTGTAGTATTTTGTTAAACTTAGGAAAAATTGACCTATACACGGGTAGTAAATGTTGCTGATTGTAAATGAAGCCTAATCATTTTTGTCGGCAAGTTGTAACATTATTATTGTTTTGTTTTTTTAAAAACAGAATAAAAGCATTAACAATTGAAACCAGTTTAATTAAAATTATACAACACTGAAATTGCTAAGAAAAACAAACGTAATTTAGGAAAATCTTTCAAGAAAAACTCGTAACTAATTACATATGATACCGTTACAAAAAGAGTAGGGACCACTTACTGTGATAGGTATTTTAACAAATGAGACGATGTGATATAATAAACAAGAAAAGTATGCATACAGTCAACATCATTGATTATACCTGTCTTAAGACATTAGTATTAGGCCTATTATATTTGTCTTAACACTGCATTCTTTATCTAGCCCCAAAAGGAGTTACAAGAGTGTATATTAGTAATATTCCAACCACATTATGTTCGCCGTATCCCTTGACGACGACTCGTAAAAAATAGCTTATATAAATAAAGTTCCAAGCTCCACTGTGTTGTGTCGATCGCAGCTGGCCTGATGAGCTCTGGACTGAGCGAAACGCGTTGTCGGCAATGGATATTATAAATATAAAGTGGTTGGTATACAATTAATACACACATGTAATTCTAGAAAATCGCCAAAGGATTACATAAAGAATGCACTGTTAAAAAATATAATAGGCCTAATACTAATGTTTTATGACAAGTGTTCTTAATTGCAATCATGTCTCGCCAGCTTGGAAAGGGCATTAACACCATATAATAGAAAAAATCATAGATTGACAGAAATAAATATAGAGCGTTCTTTGGAATGAGTGTACTTTTCATGTTACAGTTTTTGTATGATGCAAGTTTATTGCATCAAACAGAACAGTATTTACATACAATTACATGTTTTACACGTGTTATTCATACATACAGTACCTCCTGCGAATGGTATCGCTTGGAGTAAAAGGAAAATAAAATAACCATGCCGCAAAAGGCTCGAAGAACCTAAAACTTTATTAGGCTTAAGCAAGATAACCGAGTTTCTGTATATTGTTAAAGTTTTATAGATATGGTAGTGGGAAAAAAAAATTTTTTTTGGCTTCAAGACTTTCTAAGAACCATGGTGAAATCGCATATTCAGTAAATGTAATATAACCTTTAAAACAGCCATACACGAGTAGATAAATTATCACGCTAAAATAAGAAGTCGTAGCCAAACAAAAACTTCAAAAACATTGTAATACGATAATTTCAAAACAATCTAAAGCATATACGCATGCGCGCCGACCTGGGGCTGTGCAACTGCCAAGAGGCCCGGGCGAATGAAACCTGGTTATGCCGTAAAACACCTTTAGGCTATATCTTCAGTTAACCATAAAAAGCATAGTTTTGGCTTTTCTTCACATACAGACGCTTGATACATTCAGAATGATTGAAATAATAATTGATAAATATTTGTTACTTTATAGATTTATTGTTGTTACTATATTAACGTTTTACGTTTATGCTGTGAGCTAAAAATGGCTACCGCTATGATTTTCCCTTGTTTATGAGCTCGGTGTTGTCCTAATTTAGGATCTTCTTTTCAAATTTAAAAAAAAAAGGGAGAGAAAGGGGGCCCGGTGAGGACGTTTGCCCCGGAGCCTGTGCTGGCTCTCGACTCTCCTGCATATAAGTTAAGTATTAGATAAATGAATGAATAAGGGCAATGGCCACAAGTTGGGACTTAAGTAGTTTTGTAACTATAGTTGCTACTGCATGACGGGAAAATAATCCGAACAATGAACTCCCTTTGATTCTGTGCAGTTTAACGTCATTATCGATAAGCGAGGATGATATGCAACATTAAATACATATCGAATAATTAACGTTACGCCTTGTATTTAACTGATATGTTTGTTGATTAATATGTAAACCTTGTTTTTACCTTCCACAAGGACTAACGTCTTTTAAACTCTTGAAGCATCCTTTTGGAATCTTCAGAAGAAAGCTATAAACTAAAATTCGTGAATTTCTTTCTCTAATCTCACAATCCTGCTTCATTTAACCTGTGACCTTTGGAAATCTCGGAAAGATATTTCGATAATTTCTGATTATGCAGTAAAACCTCAACATCGTAATTTTGTGCTGAAAGGACGTATAAAGTGTTATTTTAAACTAAAAGTGACAGTATTAGATTGGATACAACTGAGGCTGAATAAAAGAAGATTGGAAAAATAATCTTAGATGCAATATCTATAAAAATATATTGATACAAAAACCATATTAATAGGATTAAAATAACGTACTGGATTTCATTGATGATGTGCATTTCTTATGATAAAAAGAACAATATACAGAAGAACACGGGATGTTATATGACAAGGCATGTATAAGAATGAAGAAATAATTAAATGATGACGTTTAAAAAAAAAGTAAATAAATCACAATCAATGGAGTTATCAGGAGCTAACCCTTGGATAGTTAAAGTTTAATTATAAAACGATCAAAAACTCCTCACGCTCATCATGCGTGGTGTCAGCCCAACTGCTCTAAAATTAAAACTAACACATAAGTGTATTTTACCCATTTAAACAATGTTTTCTCATAGCGACGCGAACAATCATACAACACAGAAAAAATGTTAGCATTGATTTTTACTTATGTTATTAACTAAAAGTTCATTTGCATTTAAAATGAGACCTTTGTAGAACATTTATTACAAAAAGAGCTACTCAAATTAATGTAACACCCTATATAATCAAACGAGTAACTTCGGATACGATATAGTTTCTAGAACAATATTTTATTGTAGCTAGAAAATGAATAAAAACTGAATATGAAGAAAAAAAAATTAAAGAACATCAATCCTCTTCAATAAACGAAAGAACGTTTTACTGCTGGCAATTCTGGTGATTTAAATAATGCCTTATTACTAATATTTACAAAGAATTCTAGCATACAGATTATCTATACATATGTTAGAAAAGTTTTTTTTTTTATAAATTTGAGAAATTTCAAACCTTTAAGTGTATCATCACTTCAAATTTTCCAAATACAAGATTAATACACTTTTTTGAATACAATACAATTATTTATCGTCTTGGCAAATCTTAAACTATTGTGTTTGTGTTTTCATTGTTGTTTATCCAGACTCTGTGTTCATTTCGCTTGTATTATTTGCGAGTATGGCCTACACAAAATATTAATTTAAGCCTAAATAAAGAAAATTTAATATGAAAAAAAATATATTTTGGTCATAACTTACCTCTTTACAAATAGTATTCGTGTCAATCAACTCAAAAAATGTTATTTGTATTATAACTTATGCCTTAATTTAGACTGCATAAAGGTTTGAAGGCCTAAAATTATTTCCAAAACATAGAAATTTAGTCCTTGCAATATTCCAGCTAACATTATTAAGTAAGTGTAGTAATACATGTTTCCCTTAACCTTACCGTTATCAACATTTTAATATTTAAATCGAATTAAACCGTTATCTCCTAACTTATACATATGTGTTAGGCTTAAGTCTTAGAAACGCTCTTAGTTCGCTTGTGGTTTGGCACTGTTTGTTCGACAGAATCACTTCGTTCTCCCAAAAGCCAGTATGTCGTCATTTTCCCTTTTCCCTGCCAAAACAATAGAAATAGGTGTCTTAAATCTAATATGTATGGTCAATGTATCTTACTTTCCACATTTATTTAGAATTTCATGGTAAGTATTTCACAATATTTAATCACTTTTTAATGGCAAAATTCGCATACAGTGTTAATTAATTAAGAACTTGTAATGACTATTTCTAATGTACAAAAAAAAGACTTTTAGAATACAAATTATCAGTAGAGATGATAAATAATGAACTGTACACAGCTTTTGTTTAAGAATCATGTAATATATTTAGAGACATTTTGGGATATTTTATCACTGTCACTGATTGCATCGAATTCCTTTTATACTCCGCGCAGTAAATTAAATTTTCGTCTCACATCGCACTATATACATATAAAACCTTAACAATGGTATTAAACTTAGCAATTAAAAATTACTAAAACATAAAAAGCTGGAAACGAGAAAAGCTAGATTTTCTGTACCAATTTCCGTTTTTCCGTCGAACAAAGAGAACATTAAAATTCGATGACGAGGAACCCACTTTGAGACTAATAATGGCTGGAGACGGCTTAAATGGGTAATG